ATAGATACCAAATATTGAACATTTTTTAGAGCCGCCCCAATCGCAAGACCTTTATTTTCAAGATGCTCCCACCTTCATTTAGAAATTTAGGACCCCTCCTACAACATTTAATTTGTTACTTAGTTGGTGTAAAATAGGTAATGGGACAAGTACTGGTGTAAGACATTGTGTAGCCTAAATAATAAGAGGACCAGTATTCAAAATGGTACGTTGTTATTTACTCTGACTATAAATACATTGCGCGGGAATCATAAAATATTTCCGCCAACGTGAAAAGGCGAAATATTTGACAAATATAAAACATTTTGCGTGTTGATATACAGTTATATCAACACGAGTGGAAATTGGGAAAACGAGAAATTGTGTGGAAACACGATGCCCGAAGGGCGGAGTGTTTTCCAGTGAACTGTAATAACACTGGAACGCTAACTGCAGGTAAACATGCCCATACTTTCCCGAAGCCAAGATGGCGCTTCTCGCAAGCTCAGCGAGCAATAAATTAACTTTTAAAAGGACTGGGGAGAGTTTCGAGGAGCGGGAAATTCAGTCAAAAGTTTGTTTTTGAGCGAAAATCAGCAAGAAAAAGCACTTTTTTATCGAAAGTCTTCAACTTTAAAGATTCAAACCTGGTTTCCTGGATAGTTCTAAGTATTTTACATCCACTATCAGCAAAAACTTCCTGGGTAACAGCTTTATATTCAAAATATTACACAAGTTTGAACGTGCCGAAAAAAACTTCGCACTTTGACTCCCGAAAAAGAACTTTAAAACTGCTCTACGTTCTGGAAACATGTTTTGTATTAAATTTCAGGTATTGTTGAAAGTTTTTAGCTTTTTTCCTTGTTGAAATACAGCTATTTAGTGGTCGAAAACAGACATCTTTTAGGCCGCGAATTTTCCACTACATACCTACATGGCGGCCATCATGAGCGGCTTCAAAGATGGCGGCCAAGTTATCGTTCCAGTTCTCTTAGAGTTCACTGTTGTTTTCAACTTCGAGTTTTTCCAATTTCCACGAGTGTTGTTATAACTCTATATCAATACGGAAAATTTGTTTTATATTTGTTTTATAATGTGGCACAAAGAAATATATAGAAAGAAATTTTCCGACGTTTCCGTGTTGACATTGAGTTATATCAACACGGCTTTTAGCCAATCAGCGTTCAGAATTTACAAATGTTATATTACAAATAAAAAAAATTCTGATAAACGAAAGTCGTACTTTATGTTATGATTTTTAGAAATAGAACGTAGTTGATTATCAACCGTGTTTTAAATGTGCTCAATTCACTGTTTCTGGCCGACCGGATCAAATTTTTTGTGTAGCAATCATCACCTATACATTTCTAATGGTATCTTCAATCAAATAACAAGTTTTTGTGGAGTCCAACGTGCTCTAAATGTAATTTTAGCCTAGATTTTGATCGTTTTACCAAAAATTTAATTATCCCGGGACAAAGTTACCCCGGGGCAAAGTGTTCACATGAGGAAAAGTTGCTCCGGCTAGGAGAGTGTCCCTGTCTACAGAGGCGAGGCACTCGGTTCAATTCTTGCCCCTTGTTGTGTATTACAGTTGATTTCATATAACTTTTCCCTGAATGTTGCGAACTTCGTTCCGAACTTCGTTGTGAAGTTAAAAAGTTCATGCTGAAATTTACAAGCCGGTTTGTAAACAAAGCCTGTGATTGGTCCCTGAACAAAAGTAAGCCAATCAGAGGCTTTATTTACAAACCGGCTTGTGAATTTCAGTACAACGAAGTTCGGAACGAAGTACGCGACATTTGGGGAAAAGTTATATGAAATAAACTGTAACCTACACGGTTAACTATTCTTTTTCAATACTTACAACAACAACTCGTACGCCAGTACGTAAACAACTAAAGTCTAAAACCAAGTTATTAATTAATGTTCCCGTGCTCGTGCACGCGATATGGGCAGGATACAACATCCCTTTCCTGTTTAGATAAATGTTTCTTTAAATGTTTTTTGTAATACCAACTGTAAATACTAAACGACTACTTTAAAGTTTATAACCAAATGTTTTTACTTATCGAATCCTAAATAATCTGGAGCAGATTTTTGTGTATTAAATCTGCGCGTAGTTTCCTCTTGAGGCTGATTGTTATTGGTTCCTGTCTGGTTTTGAATGTTGGCTTCATTGCCTGTGGGATCTGTGGCTGGTGTGTTTATGGTTTCAGGTTGATTTCCTGCTGATGGAATGGGATTCGTCGATGTGAAATCTTCATCGTCCGCTGAGGGAGTGGGGTTTTTCTTTAGGTATTTCTTTACGCGGGATGAATTGCGCCAATGTTGTTTACCATGACGATCCTCTAATATAATTTGTAGAACCATTGATTTTTATGATTTTTATTGGATCTTTTCCAAACTGTGTGGAATACTTGTTTTTTCTTTTCAGCTGGGTGACCAGGACTTCGTCTCCTACTGCAAGATTACGTGTCTTTGCGTGTCGTGTCTTGTCGGTGAATTCATGTCATGTTCTCGGACAGCTCGGGCAAACCTATCTCAAACTGGATGCTTTTTCCGAGGGATTTTCTCAAACTGTCGTAAAAATCTTTCCACTGGTTGTAGTACCAAAAAAATACGAATACGTTTTTGCTCATCGTACACGATACGATTGTTTTCCAAAGATGCTTGTGCTGTTTTTGGTTTCTTAGTTGGCAACGAGTATGCCCTTCGGCTCATACGCTTTCCTCCCTGTTTTTCAGAGTTCATGTACGGAGATTTGTCGATGTAGGGCTGCCATGATGACACATTGGCTTGCTTAAGATAAGGTTTTCTCTCCTTGGATTGTAAGCCGTGAACTTGTAAAAGATGTGTACTGATATTCTTCAAATCAGGCCGACCGCAAAGCGGACAGGCCTGGCGAAATCGTCTCTGCATGACTGCTCCGGCAAATGATTCAAGTTTGCGTAGGAACACGCGTACGGTTCTATGTGTTGTTGCTTTGAGGAAGAGCTTCTGTGAAGCTTCTGTTAAGCTTCTTGGAAGCTTCTGTATAGCTTCTGCGAAGCTTCTGTGAAGTTTTTGCTGAAAGCAACAACACATATAACCGTGTTTCTATGCAAACTTGAATCATTTGCCGGAGCAGTCATGCAGAGACGATTTCTCCGGACCTGTCCGCTTTGCGGTCGGCCTGATTTGAAGAATATCAGTACACATCTTTTACAAGTTCACGGCTTACAATTCAAGGAGAGAAAACCTTATCTTAAGCAAGCCAAGGTGTCGTCATGGCAGCCCTACATCGACAAATTTCCGTACATGAACTCTGAAAAGCAGGGAGAAAAGCTTGTGAGCCGAAGGGCATACTCGTTGCCAACTAAGAAACCAAAAACAGCACGAGCATCTTTGACCACCAAACCCTACCCGGAATTCAACTTCCACCATAAATTTTCGCTATTGGTCGTGGGTCCGAGCCAAAGTGGAAAAACGTATTTTGTACAACAAATTTTAGAAAACAATCGTATCGTGTACGATGAGCAAAAACGTATTCGTATTTTTTGGTACTACAACCAGTGGCAAGATTTTTACGACAGTTTGAGAAAATCCCTCGGAAAAATTATCCAGTTTGAGAGAGGTTTGCCCGAGCTGTCCGAGAACATGAGCGAGATTCGTACGCGATACAACAACATCATCATACTGGACGATCTGATGGCTGAAGCGACAGACAGTCCTGTGGTATCTCGATAATTTACCCAGGGTCGTCATAGAAACGCGAATGTTATCCTTTTGCTCCAGAACATGTTTCCCAAGGGAAAATTTAATACAGATATTAGCCGAAATGCCCAATATCTCGCTCTCTTCCGAAGTCCTAGTGATAGGAAACAAATTGGTATCGTTGGAGAACGCATGTTTGATAAGAATAGAGTCCACTTTATGAATGCTTATTACAAAGAGACCAAAAACCGTTTGGATACTTGGTCGTGGATAACAAACCTGACACACCAGCCGATAAGAAAGTTCTTGGGGACCTATTTGACGACTGCCATGTTTATCTCTTCGCCACCCAAACTAAAGAGAACAATACTAATGTCGAGCCCACACCGAGTCACAAG